AAGCAAGGCAGATGCAGGCCTTTAAAATTGTGATGCTATTTATGGGTCAAATAGACTCAAAAAATTGTAACAGCAGCTGGTCAGGGGGCCCAATCTAATTATTTGTCAGGGGGCCCATGATTTCTGGCAGCGCCCCTGCTCCTGGTTCTGGAGGATTAAGGTGCGTTTGTTTTGCTTGCCTGGCCAGGTGGAGGATGAGGAAAATCGGGAGGAGACAGAGGGAGAGGAAGGAGTCGGCTTCATCGCTCATGTTCCGGTTCCGTCTCAGAAAGAGGTAAGACCGCTGCTCCATTCAGAGATTCTGACCTGGGTTCCGGTTCTGACCCGACCTGTCTGTGTCTCAGGTGGAGGAGGCACTGGTCCGGAGGAAGAAGATGGAGCTGCTGCAGCGCTACGCCAGCGAGACGCTTCAGGCTCAAAGCCAGGAGGCCAGAACTCTGCTGGGGCTCTGACCCAGTTCTGACCCAGTTCTGATCCAGCTGGTTCTCACCCGTCTGTGTAAATATTCAGTTTTGTACGGTGTTTTTTTGTTTTTTTCATTAAAGCGTTAACAGCTCAGCACTATGTGTGTTTGTTTGGTTCTGACTTGATGATGAAACTTGGGTCATCTGGGGGACAGAACCAGAACCAGCCACCCCTGGGGGGAGGGGCTTAAAATGGAAGGACCACCTGCTGGTTTCAGCCAGTGACATCAGCAGCTGCAAATGACACTGTAAATAAACGTTAGAATAAAACCAAGCCAGCACGCAGCTACTTATTGAAACGGTGAACTAGCTCAACGACATTTGAAACAAAATGGCTTCTTCTCGACCGTGAATATAAAACCTCGAAAACTGGGATGTTTGGTTTAAAAGAGTAAAGGATTTTCTTTAACATTTTTTAGGATGACGTGAGTTTTTACATTTCATGCTTTCAAAGTTAAGAATGGTGATTAATCTGATCACAAATGACATCATGAAGCACCAACAGGTAAGAAAACAACCAGCAAAATGTTCAGAAATATTCTATGTTGTGTACCCACATCCCCTTTCATCGGCCCCTCATAGGGCTCCTCATGGGGCCTCTCATGGGCCCCCTCATGGGGCCCCTCATATAAAGCCTTTGGATGTTGTATCTGTGTTTGTAATTACTGGTGTTCTATGTTGTTCTTGTATTTTCCTGTTTAATAATTTAAAAAAGCACCAACAAAATGGCTGTAAATGAGAACGTTTCGTCGCTGAGCCAGTTAGCTAGCACTGATAGCTAACACTGATAGCTAGCACTGATAGCTAGCACTGATAGCTAGCACTGAGTTATCTGGGCCTTAGTTGCCAAGTTCCTGCTCAGTAATGGTGTAGGTTAAGTAGTGATTCATCAATACTTTCTAGTTCATTTTTCCAATTGAATGTCGGGAAAGTCGGTGAATCTATTAGATCTCTCGTCGCCATGGTGAGCAACACTGTCATCTGTGTCATGGAAACTGTTCTTCATTTTTAGTTATATGCGGTCCAGTTCCCCAACCCGATCTCTCCCCAGTGGAACGAATAACAAAAGGGAAGAGGAAATTAATAACTTAATATTTATAATAGTCCTGGAGGACCCTGAACAAGAGAAGAAGAAAATAAGGAGGAGCTGGAGGACCAAACCCCTTATAGTAAACACAGAGGACACAACAGTCAAGTATAAGCGGACAAATACGTTAAAGAACACATTTTGTGTAAATATACAACTATTAATACAGACCCAGTTACACCAGACAGAAGAGCCTCTGTCCCAGTGTTCCCAGCTGCTGATAGGTTAATTAGAGGCATCACTCTGCAGCATGTGATTGGCTGATTAGGTAGGGCATGCTGCACGTGTCCTCATGTGAGGAGACAACTGCAGTCAGCTGCAACTCATTTACAGCTCCAGGAGTTCTGGTTCTGGACGCAGATAGTCTGACCCAGCACGATCAGAACCGAGTATTTAGGTTCTGTTTCCAGACAGAAGAACCATCCTCACCTCATCAGAACCAGAACCCTATGGTGATGTCTAGAGATGTTCAGTATCAGCCTGCAGGTTCTGGTTTACAAAAATTACAAAACAAAAATGTTTCTAAAGCTGCTGATGAAGAAGAGTATGTGAGGAGCCGCTACCAACCTTGGTCCTGCTATTCCTCTGACTGCCTGAAGGGGGAGATAGAGTTCCAGGCGTTAAGCTCTTGGCCTCAAATAATTTAACATTTCAGAGGGGAGCAAAGGATCGTCAGTCTGAATCTAAGGAACATCTTCTGAAGTTGAGGAGCATCAACTTAAAGTCTCACGTTAAACGTCGGTTTGAGTCTAGGGATCGGAGGAACAGAGGGAACCTGAGTCACCTGGCTTCAACCAATCGGAGATCTCCCATCATTAATGACGTCATCATTTAGCCCACCCCAGTGACATCACAGACCTGTGGTTTTAAAGCAGCAGCAGCTGCTGTTCTGAGGTCAGACCGGCGGGATGTGGAGCCGAGGTTTCGGACTGCAGCTGGTTCGCCAAGCGTCCACTGTGAGACAGGTCAGGGGGACACTGTCCCCTGTCCGCTTCCTCATTCCTTTCTTCCTCTCCATTTCCTTCTTTCCTTCCTTCTGGAGTCCTTCCTTCCTTGATTGCTTAGTTTCCTTCTTCCTTCCTTTTGGTGTCTAACTGGTCTGTTCTGCCAACCTCACCTGTCTCCCACCTGTCCGGCCGCCAGGTGGGCGTCCTCTTCGATGTCGATGGCGTCCTCCTGCGCGGTGGATCCGTGATCCCGGCTGCTCGGCGCGCCCTCAGGAAGCTTGTGGACCAGAACCAGAGCTTTCTGTTTCCTGTTGTTTTTGTCACCAATGCAGGAAGTTGTCTGAGACGCCACAAGGCGCAACAGCTGTCTCACCTGCTGGACGTGCAGGTAGAGGGGGAGGGGCTTAAAGGCTGCTGCTGCTGTGTGACTGGATCAGAACAAGTCATATGCTTCCTCTGCAGATCGCACCTGAGCAGGTAGTTCTGTCGCACAGCCCTCTGCACATGATGGAGACGTTCCACAATAAATGTGTTCTGGTGTCTGGACAGGGACCAGTGACCCAGATCGCCCACACGTATCCTTCACCTGTTGGCTCACCTGTTGGCTTTAAAGTTACTCATTGGGCCATTTTCCTTTCATTTGTTGTGGCTGAGTGAGTTGAGACTCCAATACTTTAAAGGGGCAGTATCATGTAAAATCAACTTTTTTGATCTTTCCACAATGTTTGAGAAATTCTTTTGTCTCCATAGCAACCATTCATCTGCAAAACACCTAGGTGGACCTAGCCCCACCTTCGAGATGCAGCTTTTCCTATTTGGAAATATTTGATATTTCTCCTTCAGACTAGCCAGCAGCAATTTGCAAACACCTGGAGGAACTGCTGAACTCATTATAGGAGATACTACTCAGAGCATCACTGGTAAAAATGTTTGAGTTAATAGAGGAGCCATGTTGCGATGACTTCCAGAAGGTGGAGCTTCAGAAAGAGCATGAGTTTTTAAAGAGGCAGAGGCCCAATTTCAAGACATTACATCCGGAAGTCAAATTTCTTTTAAGTCATATTTGTTATATTTAGCATTTTGATAACAACTAAAGGTAAAAGTTATTCAATTATGCTATAAAATGGCACTATGTCCCTTGAAAACGCATAATACTGCCCCTTTAAAACTTTGCAGGAACACACGGACCAGAACTCAGTGATGCATGGTGACCAGATGATGTTGTGGACTTTTGACTCGGTATTTCTCAGTTTGGGTTTCCAGAAGGTTGTAACCATGGAGGAGCTCTCAGAACAGCACCCTCTGCTGGATATGGTGGACCACAGCAGGAGACCCACCAGCACTGTGAGTCCTGGCTAACCCGAGCGGTTCTGTAGAACCTGGAGTTAATGTATGTCCTGTTTCATGATGATTTTTATAGTTGATCAATAAAACAGTATTTCCAAAAGTGTCCGCTGAATATCTTAGACATGTTTTTAAAGGGGCAGTCTCTGATATGTGCTGCCATCTGGTGGCTAAAGTGGGGCAAACGACCATCTCGGTCAGTTTTGTATATTTTGGTGTCTCCACTGATTAGTTACTGATCCACAGGAAGTGTGCCTCCTGTTCCGGCTGATAGATTTTTGTTGTTTTGTTTGTTTCAGCCCAGTTCTTCAAGGATCCTCCCGCAGATACAAGGTAACACAACCACAACACCGCCCAGAATCTCAGGTTTAATTTCTCCTCTTCGGTTCACTGTCAGCTCTGAAAACCCAACAGCACCTTCAGCTGAATGTTTGATCAGGAAATGCAGCCTGATGGTTTAAGAACCAAAACTGTCAGTTTGTAACATTGTTTACTATTGTATATTCCGTAGATATTTTCTTAACCATAAGATTCCCTATTAGTATGTTTTTGTAGAAAAGCGCCACCTAATGGACATGCTTGAAAATATATGAAAAGTGCTGTGTCACAGTAGATCAGAAAGTAAATTGTATGTGGTGTGTTTAACTTAGCTCTACACAGTTTTCTGACCGTTACATGTGGAATGCTGTGCAAGATTGAAGAGACGGCCTGTTAAGGCCTGTGCTGAGGAATTGTTTTGTGATATCTACCAAAGAGAAGTAAAGTTCGTCGTTCATCAGACTTTGTGTGAATTTTGTAAGTACTTCTTCAATTCATTAAGAGATATTTGTGGAACAGAAACGCATCAGCTAAAAGCCAAGCTAGTGAACGCCAACAAAAGAAAACTGAAATTCATTCAACAATATAATGGCTTTGCACTGAAATGAAGCAACTACGTGTTTCTGGGACAGAAGGAACTGACCATGTGACGCCTAACGAGGTTAGCCACCAGCTAATGAGGTTACAGTAGCCTAGGTGTGACGAACGTCTAAACGGATTATTTGTCCGAGGTCATATTCTTCAACCGTTTCAAGAAGAATATTTCTGAACTGAATGAACTTTGGTGGCAGGATTTTCTCTGTCTGCTGCTGTTTCATCTGTGAACCACCAGGGGTGCTAGTTACACTACTTTAGACTCTTGACAGCATTGTGTCTTCAGGGTGTGATGGGTTAATGAGAGCTCACATCTTTCCTACTGGAAAGGCCAAAAGCAGCTTTTTGTTGCCATTTTTGTTTGTTCCCTTTTGTTGCCATAGCGATCATCCTGTTTGGGGAGCCAATCAGATGGGAGACCAACCTGCAGCTAATCGTTGATGTGCTGCTGACCAACGGTAGACCTGGGTGTGTGTATGACACTAGGCTATCGGCACAGATGCCCGTTCTTGCCTGCAACATGGACCTGTTGTGGATGGCTGAAGCCCCGTCACCACGGTAACAGGCACTCCCTTCAGATGTGGGCGGGCCAGGAGGGCGTCCAGCCATTGGTGACCTGGATGTGTTGCTTCAGGTTCGGTCATGGGATGTTCCTGCTCTGTCTGGAGTCCATCTACAGGAAGTTGACCGGCCGGAGGCTGGAGTATGAGGCAGTGCTGGGGAAACCCAGTCTGTTCACATACCAGTATGCCGAGCAGCTGCTTCGCCAGCAGAACCAGAACCACAAGCTGTCTACCATCTATGCTGTTGGGTATCCACAACCCATCTCTTAACATGTCTCAGAGTCTGTCTCTGGATCTGTCTCATTTGCCTCTGTTGCTCGTCCCTGAACCCATCTCTTGACCCATCTCTCAATGTGCCTAACCAAACCAGAGACTTGGTAACTGTATCCCATGATGCACCACCTGTTACCCTGTTGGTAACCTTGTCTCAGTCTTGGTCTTCGTCTGTAATCCTGAATGAAATCAAAGTCTCTGTCATGTTCCGAAACCTCCAGTCTGTAAGGCTGTCTAACTGCCTGTGCTGTTGAATGACCAAACCTGTGCACCATGTGACTGATCCACCTGTTCCCTCAACACTTTCAGGTAACCAAGCATTCTGTCTTCCTCTCTGAAGCAACTGCTGCCTTTGTAGAACTTGGAAGATGTAGTTAGTTGTTGTCCCCTGGCTTTAGAGCTTCTGTAAAATGTTCCACTAAACTGATTAATGTTCAATAACAAGACTTTATAGGTCAGTGGTCACCAACCTTTTTATTACCGTGGACCCGTGTTCTAACTATCTGTCATACCTCGTAAATTCAGCATACCTTGTGGTAATGATAGTCAGAACACCTGTTTGTTCATGACTGGAATCAGTTCTTGTGTGGTGTGTTGCTCCTGCCGTGTGGCTGAACACGAACCGATTGAACCTGTTGTACTTTTATCAGCTCTGTGGTCACAGAGGTTTGGAGAATTGGCTGACAATTCTTAAATCGTGCCATGTGAACCAGACTTCAATCAGACTTCAGACTCGCAAGCTCTACTCCTCTCCTCTCGTCTTGACCTTCCCTAACGCTCGCTGACTCTGGTCGCTATGGTAAAATAAGATACAGATGCACAAAATTTTACTTTTGTGAACATTTTAACTTACAATAACGACTAACGGGAGCCCTGAGCTTGTTTCTCTGCAACGAGACGGTCCATCTGGGACTGATGGGAGATGATAACACCCAAAGTGTTTCTTATATGCACAGGGTGTTTGGTGTCTAC